TATCTATCTATCTATCTATCTATCTATCTATCTATCTATCTATCTATCTATCTATCTATATATATATATATATATATATATATCATGTGTGGTGTGTGTGTGTGTGTGTGTGTGTGAAAATTGAACCACAGGGAAGACTGAGTGCTGAAGAATTGATACTTTAGAATTGTGGTTTAGGAAAAGACTCTTGAGAGTCCCTTGAACTGCAAGGAGATCAAATAAATCAATCCTAAAGGAAATGAATTCTTACCATACTGAAGCTGAAGCTCAATACTTCGACCACCAAATGAGAAGAGAGACCTCATTGTAAAAGACCCTGATGTTTGGAAAGATTGGAGGCAAATGAAGAAGGGGACCACAGAAGATGTGATGGATATATAGTATCATTGACACAATGAACATGGATTTGGGCAAACTCTGGGAGACAATAGAGGACAGGGGGCCTGGTATGCTATGGTCCATGGGAGGGTGAAGAATTGGACATGCGTTAGAGATTGAACAATAGCAATATATATGTAATAATTATATGTAATAATTAAAATTATATCTCATTTCAGTCTTTTTAGAAGTCATGTTTATATTTGTTCCATTGAGGCTTTCCTTAAGATAAAACAGGAATATGCCACAGGGAGGAATTACAGGCTGTTTTTTCATCCATAGTTAAATTATCATTTACTCAATTAACCCACATTTCTAAATTCTTAAGGGCTATATTATAACATACTGCTCTACCTATTAACCAACCCTGTTTTAGACTAATGGGCCATAGAAATCCAGTTAAACATTTACTTTCTCACCACCAACGATCCAAAAGCTGGCTCATTCACAACATTAATATTGTTTATTTGACCTTGGGAAAATGCTTCAAAAAGACTTCTTTCAATTTGTATTATATGAAAGTCTATAAGAAATCACAGACTCTACACTCAGCATCCTATTTAGACTTTGGGTTTTTAGGTCACTAGTGTAAGAAAGTAGGAAACAAAGTGTGCTATTTTAAAGTGGGAAATGTTAATTCTGTTCCTTTCTTTTATTTCTAGTCTAACTTGTCTTTTTAAACAAAAATTATGGCAGACTAAAGATTGGGTTCAGCCAACATGCTAAACCCCAAAATTCTTTTTGTAGTTCAGCATATTATGTGAATCCATTCTATGATGGATTATTCAATAAAACATGGCAAAACAAACCATGGCTTCATAATATAGATAAACATGATCTCTAAGTTAATAAAAGTAACCAGCTACCTTTTATAAGTGGACACAAAATTAATACCAGGACTCATAACAAGGACAAAATAAAAGAATACTATTTAATATCCCAGGATACTCCACAGCAAATTATTGACCTCATATACATTAAAAGGATTAAGACAATTTCAGGTTTCAATAAATACGGTGAGTTTTTAATACATTACAATTGTTATCTGAAAAAATACTTTTGTCTCACAAGTAACCTGCATCTGCATAACTAACCTATCTTTCCTTCCATTTCCCCACCATCTTTCCTTCCCACCTCCCCAATTTAAGTCCTGAATGAGCCAGCTGCCCAGTGCATCTGATGAAATGAGCTGCAACCATGAAAGCTTATGCCTTTTCATTAAATTTTTAAGTTGGAGAAGGTGCAACTAATTTTAGGATTTTTGACACTGTAGATTAACATGGCTTCCCCACTCACAATGAGTTTTCCCTTGCAATTTTTGCAAGTGGATAACACTGTTCTGAAAATATATTTGATGGATTTGAAATGTAGCCAATAAATGTAACTGAATTGACCTCAGAATGATGCAATTTTAATCCAATATTTTCATGGTTCAATAACTCATTAAGAGAGCAATCCTATTTTTCAATTCAGCTCAACAACATCAAGCAACAACCAGGATCCTTCTTTCCATAGCAATGGGAAGAAATGAATTTTGATAAAACAATTATTAGTTTTAGTAGTTAAAAATACCTTCCATATTCAGAACCAGCATGTTTTTTAGTCCCAATTGCAAAAACAAAGAAAAAGAAGAAAGCTTGAACTTTCATATTATGTTTAAAACTTGGTCATCAATCAGAACTGAAAACTATTCTTTCTGACTCAGTATTTTCTTTCTGAGTAGGCCACCAACCCAGAGATATGTTGGATCTGACTTAGTAGATACACACCGTGAGCAGGAGGGGCTATTAGAAATTGTCTTCAAATGTATAGTGGGTTTGATGATTTACACTGTCAATGGCATGAAATATCTAAATCTATTTAAATCTTAGCTTCTTCCAGAAGAGATGTTGAGGTAATTCCCCGTTAGGAGAATGAGCGCACACAGGGAGACGTAGTGAGAGTAGTGAAGATTATCACACAACCAGCACACAGATACACTGTATAGTAAAATGTAGGTTTTTACTTCCAGTAAAAATGGTTAAGAAAAGTTCAACAAACAGTCCAAGTCATTCACAGTTAAAGCAGTCAGTTTTCAGTCCGGGGATAATCCAATTAACAAAGTCCAGTATCATAAACAGTTTAGTAACAGACTTACATCAAATCCAAGAATAATGATGATCAGCAAAAGTCAATAGGGAAATGCAGGAACTGCAACATTCTCAGCAACAACAGAACAACCCAGGTTTCTGGCTCCATCTTATGGCTGTTTGAGGAACCACACCCAATTACAATTTTAGCATTCCCTTAAAGAGACAGTATTAAAATGTCTATCCTGGTTTATATATTTTCCAACCCAACTGTTAGGTGACTTACATTCCTAACAAGAGAAAGAATTTTGGACAAAAGTGACACAGAAGTCTTGTGATTTCTACCATTAAAAAGATGTATTTACTTAATTACTTTTCAGCAAATCTCATGTCTACTAACTTTTGGTAGGGGTGTGTTTGTCCTTTGGATAAGTTTTACTTTATCCTTTGGATAAGTTTAAACATTTTACTTTTTTTTTTAAAAAAAGATTTTTTTAATAAAAGTTTTTTATTTTTATTTTTTTTAACACATAATGACTATGTATACATGTTGTAATCTGGAACCACATTGCTCACATGGAAAAAAAGATGTTTGATGTCTTAAGTAGAACAGTGTTTCTGTCATAAAAGCTCAGGCCACTTTAAAGTAAAACAAGACACTTTGTTCCATGTAATAACTAATTTAGGGGACATGGTGGCTCAGTAGCTAAGACGCTAAGCTTGTCAGTCAGAAAGGTTGGCAGTTCGACAGTTTGAATCCCTAGCACCCTGTAATGGAGTGAGCTCCTGTTACTTGTCCCAGCTTCTGCCAACCTAGCAGTTTGAAAACATGTAAAAATGCAAGTAGAAAAATAGGGACCACTTTGGTTGGTTGTGTCTTCAGCCTTTGGTCATGCCAGCCACAGGACCACAAAGACCTGCTGGCTTCAGACACTGCTGGCTCTTTGGCTTTGTAACGGAGATGAGTCGGAAACAACTAGCATATATGTGCAAGGGGAACCTTTACCTTTACCTTACTAACTAATTTAACTTCTACATGTCTCTGCAACCTAGTTTCTGTCTCTGCTTTGCTCCTGCTTCCGCAAACAAGTACTTTTGGTAATTTATCCTCTGTCATTATACTGTGTGTTTCTTTAGGTCTTCAAGTTTGCTTCCTATGCCTTTTTTAATTGGACCTATAATGGACTGATACACCTTTCTTTCTGTAATTTTAATATTTTTTTCTGTGTAATCAAACTTTGGAATTAATAAAACTTATAAGTTCTTTTAAATCTCTCTCTCTTTCTCTCATCTATATCCATGACTATCATCTATCTATAACTATCATCTATCTATAACTATCTATCTATCTATCTATCTATCTATCTATCTATCTATCTATCTATCTATCTATCTATCTATCTATCTATATCAGTTGGCCCACCAGGTATCATTGAATCAATAAGGCAAGTATATAATTACATCAAGATAGCTGATCAACCTATTCTGAAGTTAATAAGTTGTGCATTTTGTAATAATGTCATGATCCACAGATTGCCGTTTCTTTTCCCTCTGAAAAGTTCATGAACATTCATTATAGCTTTTTTTTAACCTGCATTTGCCACTGCAAAACAAACTGTCTACTGATCTATTAATCTGTTATTGTTGATAACTCTTAATGTACATCCAAATGACTTGGTTAAAAATTATTCCATAATTTGGTTTTTAGAATATTCATTAAGCTGAAGCCATGTTCATACTCTCCCCTGGATGTTTGATTGTTTCTCCAATATTGATCAACTTTGCCAGTTTCTGTTGCACAATTTCCATCATTTCAGAATAACTCAAGACCAATTCACTTTTGATTTTTTTTCACCTTCTGAAAACTTCAGTCATTATTCTGATGGACTGTAATGTATTTTCAATAATAAAGTCTGCTTTGTAAACACAGGAAACTAACCTGCTCTGTTCCAACACTCATGTTCTATTGTCGTGCAGTCAAAAGTAGGCCAATCCTAGACTCTGCTGGAAAAATGTGTATAAATGGGCATATCGAATGTTTTTGAAACAAATTATAGAATTCATGTACATTTGATTATTTCTCTCAAGAACTCATATCTAGAAGAACCTTATCATACTGTGAAATTAATTAACTGAGGCATTGTCCTCTGATTTTGTTTCAATTTATCACACATAAGATGAAATTAATCAAGAAGTGTCAGGCTATTATTTTTCAGACACCTTAGATAATGAAACCAGTTCTGACAGTACTTTAGTCAAAACTTGGGGCTATCTAGTATTCTAGGCTTTTTAGCTTTTTGTGACCATTTATAAAAATTGGTTTATTATGTTTACCTTGGTCAGCATCGTCCAAAACAGAATAGAATAGAATACTTTATCTGGCCAAGTGTGATTAGACACACAGGGAATTTTGTCTCCAGTGCAGAAGCTTTCCGTGTACATGCAAAGCAACAGGATGATGATGATAATGATAATGATAATAATAATAATAATAAACCAATAAGAGGGAGTAGTAGAGAAGATGAGAATACTAATACTACAGCCATACAACATGGGTGAATAGACATAAAGAACTACTGTGCGGATTAAGTTTTCAGTAGAGCGATGGCATGAGGGAAAACATTGTCCCTGTGTCTAGTTGTTTTGGCATATAATGCCATATAGTGGTTTCCCAAGGAGTTGAAATAGATTATGTCCCAAAGGTGCTTTTTTTCAGGAGGCAACTGGACTTTCTTTGAAGTCATTGCTTCTCATCCAAGAAGCTTCTTCAGTTCTGACAGGATAATGAGGAATGGAAAGATTTATATTCCTTGCAGGATTCTTTCCATCTTTAAAAATCTTTCCATTCCCCACTATCCTGTCAGCGCTGAAGAAGCTTCTTGGATGAGAAGCAAAATATCTTCAAAGAAAAAAACAAGAAAGTCCATGAATGAATGAATGAATGAATGAATGAATGAATGAATGAATGATCCTTGATGCTCTCTGAGCTTGTTTGTTTTCTTGCAGACATTCCATTGCCCTTACTAGGTGACATCATCAGTGCTAGTCAACCAGATAAGCACTGATAATGTTACCTAGTTTGGGTAATGAAATGTCTGCAAGAAAACAAAAAAGCTCAGAGAGCACCAGAGGTGGTATTCAGCCGGTTCAGACTGGTTCTGGTATACCAGTAGCAGACATTTTGACTAGTTTGGAGAACTGGAAAATACCACCTCTGGTTGGCTCTGCCCACACGCCCCTCTGTTACTCCTACTATATTCCCTTGTTTTTTAGCTCAGCTGATTTGTGTGGCAGAGCGGATTGCCGTGCCTCAGCTGAGATAAAAAACAGCTCAGCTTACCAGTACTGACAGAGGTCAGTCTTTGAGCCCTCCATGCGCATGCACAAAGCTCAGCTTACCAGCATTGACAGAGGTCGGTCTTTGAGTCCTCCACATGCACGTACGAAATGTGTGTGCATAGAACTGGTAGGAAACAATTTGGAAACCCACCACTGAAGAGCACCAAGGACCCCTCATTTCAACTGTGGTAGAAATATCCTAAATAAATAAATAAATAAATAAATAAATAAATAAATAAATAAATAATAAGCAAACAAACAAACAAACAAACAAACAAACAAATAAATAAATTGTCTGGGCTATCAACAAATTATATGTCATCATCATCAAATTATAAAAAATATATGATTGTTGTTTTATCTGCTACTTTCCATACAAAGATTTTCATCATTTAAAAAAAAAAATCCAAGGCATTAATTCTTAGCTTTCCAGCTGTCTGGTGTGCATGCGTATGCACTTCATGTACCCATTAATTTCCTAAACAGAAAGCACCACATTGTTCTTCTCAATAGCCAACAAAAGACTGCCAATAAGATGTTTGCTTTGGGGTTTACATGGTTGCATTTAAGATTAACTTGCTTTCTCTCCTTTTTGGCTGGATTGTCTAACAGCATATCCAATAATCTCCTCTGACAGAAGGGTTTCTGTTTCTATGTCTTTCTAAATGTTATCTGCGTGAGGCTTGCTCAATAGATTACTGCCGGAAGAAATTCAACTTTCATACATCTCCCTGTGAAAAATTCTCTAGGAGGGTTGGCATCTTGACAACACAAGCAAAGAGTCCTCCTCTTGTGTGACTATTTCAGAGTTCAGTAGGTATCCTGTTGTGGAGTTTCCATTTACTTGATTTTGTGGGCTCATCTCACTAAGAGCATCTTCCAGGCTCATTAAGAAGATCAAAATGGCAGACTGTCATGATGGATGATTAAATCTTTTACAGGTCCATCTGTATGGTGTGTGCAACCCTCTCTGTCAGCCCGTCCTACCTCAGAGGGTTATTGGGGTGGGGAAAGGAGGAGGAAGGATTACAGCTAGACCTTGACTTAAAACTGTTTGTTTAGTGATCATTCGTGGATACAACGGCACTAGGAAAACAAGTGATTTATGACCGTTTTTCACCCTTACAACTGTTGCAGCATCCCCATGGTCATGTGACCAAAATGCAAATACTTGCCAACTGACTCATATTTATGATGGTTGAAATGTCCCCAGGTTGTGTGATTACCTTTTCTAGCAAACCTTCTGACAAGCAAAGTCAATGGGGAAGCTAGATTCACTTAATAACGGTCCAATATCTTCTTAATTACCTCTTCATCTAGTGGTATTTCTTCATTTTTCCAATGCTGCGCAAATACAATCCTCACTGCTGTTAATACATGCAATATTAAATATACACTTTATCACATTTTTTTCTGGTACTATATCTAATTTTGAAAGTTCAGGTTTAAGATCTTCATGTTTTCCTGACATTTTTAATTGTATATTTACTGAGTGTTTTTATTTGTTCTGGTCTCTGGTCTATGATTTTAATAAACTGAACTGAACTAAAGCTACAGCAATTTAAGAAGCAAGCTGAAGTGCAGCACCAGAAGCGGGGGAAGGAAACACTATTTAAAAATTAAAAAAAAATCTTTTCATGAGAAAATTCTCCTCTTTACCTTTTTTTCTTGATCAATCCTCTCCTATATGTATGAACCATAGAGCAATGTTTGTAAATATCTCACTGCTTGTTTCAAATCAATGTTCTGGGAGATTTTGGGTTGATTGTGATTTTCAGGAAAATCTAGCCAGGAATGACCTTTTATTCTGTATTTTTTACCTCCTTTCCCTTTGTAAGGCAGAAGCAGACAGCACTGGTAGGAAAAGATAAAAGGAAGTGGCGGGGGGAGAAGCATTTCAAATGTAGACCAGAGTCAATGGGGACCACTTTCTTCTTGGTTATCTCTTATTTTGAAAAAGAAGAAAAAAGATTTTTGCTGCAAAGAGGGAAGGAAATGTGGCAAAGAACAGGTTTTTATAGAAATCTTTTGGGTACAGCCCTGTCAAATTTTCAGACATGCGGAATGATGTATTCATTTAAATCCTTTTAGCATTCAAGGTACGCTACTGCGTGAGTCAGGCTACAACTTATCAATATATGCTTTGTTATAGAACAAGATCACAGATTAAACCCAATTTAAGGCAGATTGCTTCATTCAATAAAACCCAGCAATATGCTTGCAGTTCAAGGGCTCTAGATCCTATTCAGCACTTCAAGGTTAAATTCTTTAGCATTCAGTCTTCCTTAATTATTTTAATGGATGGAGATAGTTCTATACTGCATGATAGTTTGTAGAAACAAAGTTTCATCAAATGGATTAAAAATAGCCTTTAAAACTCTCCCGGCCTTCATCAGAAGCAAGAAAAGGCTAGTGGTTGTAATGGGTCGCTACAGCTTTGATAGTGTGCTACAACAAGTTTCTACAATGGTTAGATGTCAACCCTGTTCCATATTAACAGACTTGAAACCCTGCATTCCCATTGGTCTGTTTCAACCGTTACCTGATTGGACAACCGGGGCAGTTATGATTGGCTCGCTAAGAGTCTGCCGCGATTGGTCAAAACCAAGCACGGGAGACTTGAAGCGATGTCATTGGCCGCTAAGCCCCGGGAGCTCTATAAAAGAGCCGCCGCAGCTGCTGTTCTTCTGAGCTTGTTCTAGCCAATAAATAAAGAGCTGTTGTTACTGAACCGGAGTCTCTCGTCTTTATGAGCCCGACCCTTCGAACTTAACAAACCCTTTGAGCTAGGCCAAATCAGGAAGCAGACATTTGTGGGGGGACTCTGGTGTTGTAGCAGAATTTTACAAATCATACAGAATCAATGGGTTATTCTCAATCTCTTTCTCATGCTCCCCACCCCCAGGCTGATATGGTACAGGCAGTCCTTGACCTATGTCCACAATTGGGCCCAAAATGTCTGTAGTTAAGCGAGACTGTTGTTAAACGAATTCTGCCCCATTTTGCAACCCAACCTTTCTTGCCAGAGTTAAGTGCAATTGTTAATAACACAGTTGTTAAATCAGTCTGGCTTCTCCATTGACTTTGCTTGTTAGAAGGTCACAAAAAGTGATTACATGACCCCAGGGTACAACCATCATAAATACGAGACAGTTGCCAAGCATCCAAATTTGATTACATGACCACCATGCTACAGTTATAGGTGTGAAAATTGGTCCTAAGTCACTTTTTTCAGTGCTGTAGTAACTTTGAATGGTCACAAATTAACTGTGGTAAGTTGATTGTCAATTTTGAAGTGAACCTGGCTGAGGCCATCTTGGAGGCTTCAGGGTTGCCGCATAACAGAGGGAGGGGGGGAAATAGCTAGATGGGGTTTTGTAGCCAAAACAATTAAGTTTTCCTGTGGGAAATTCTCACAGGTGGCTGGTCAGAAGAGGAGTGAAGTAACCAAGCAACCGGCCAGGACCTTGATTGGACAGCATGACCAGTGACTTGGGGGAAAGGGGAAACTTTTACTTTTTAATTAGATGAAAGCTGCAGGAACTTTCAGAGTTGGCTTTCACCAATTGTGCCAATATGCTGTATCCAATCAATCGTTCTTTGAGGAATTTGCCTGCCTCAGAATTCTGCTTTCTATGGGTACATTACTTGGAATGCTAACATCAAGAACTACCTATATTTACCATTTCTAGTTACCTGTCTCCTCCTCTGGAACAGGTCAAAACTATAGTCTTAATGGTGCCTGGCTCATTTATAGAGTAAATGTTAGACTGTTAAACTTGCTCCTAACATTACTATGGAGGTCTGCCCTTAATATCTGAACAACAAAAAGAATGTTAAAAAAGATACTCAATTAAATAACTTCTAAACTTTGCACCTAAAACTGAAACTATATATATAAAAATATTTTCAAACTGCCATCTCAAGGTGACACACAGCAACAAGATGGTTACCAGGATCAAAGCAAATGGCCTCAATTCCCACTTCCTCCATGTATTAAACATATGGAAGTATAGATAAGGCTAGAAAGGCTATGGAAGGAAGTGGACATAAAAGTTATTATGGTTGTTGCTATGTTTTACAAACTTTCTTGAAAACATATCATGCTGAGATGAAAGGGTCTTATCACTCTCATTATACAAGAATCAATAAAAGGAATTGCTTTCAACCCAAGTAAATGCTTTAAATTGTGCATCTTGCAAAGAAAACTGCAAATTAAGTTGTCTGGGGAAAATAATATGCATGATCTAATTAAAAATGTGATATTTTAGATACACTTATAAATCCAAAACAAACACGAACCCTTCCAAAGTCTGATTTTTCCATATCTTTCTCTGATATGTGCAGGAGGCATATTAATCAATAAAGCTTATCAGAAGTAAGCAATTAATCATAATTCCATAGGAAAACTGTTCCTTACTCCAGACCACTAATTACTGAAAGCCTTTTAAAAAACTCCTCATTTCTTCCTTTATTGACAACAGCTTGATTATTTTAAAGAAACCACAATTTTTAAAATGTCAAGCCATCAATTATTGTAATGCCACAGACGATTAATTTAGCTAGGTCACTCATTCACACAGAAAGGAGTAATTTGATCCAAGAATTTGAAATATGAAATTAACTGGACTATTACAGATGTGTTATAAAGAAATAAATTAATGTAAATTATATAAAAACAGTAAGTGGGACTTTGAAGGCCATAAAACTTTTCTTATCATTGTAGGTTTATTCTTCAAAGCATGATACAGCTGCTGCAAATTACATAATTAATGTCATTTGCTCAATAATATAATAATGGATATAATGTCACAATGCCACCATTCCCTAGTCCAGGATGTCCATACGATATTATATATTAAGGATCATTTCAATTATCTGAATATTAGTTCTGCTGCAGCCCAAATAATACCATCCACACATCAGGGCAGATATCAGGACTTTGATTTACTGAAATTAAAAAATACATTTTTAAAAAAGACAGCCTAAAATAGTGAAGAACCATTCAAGCTGATGGTTGATGAAGATGAAACATCCTCAAGTGATCACTGAATGATCACCAAGGTAGGAGGAGATGGAACAGCATGCCCCTAAAGATGTTATTGGTGATCCCATAAGAACAATCCACACTAAAAATTTGTATTGCACCTGCCATTTGTTTAACTGATTTATCAGATTATTTAGCAATATACAGTCCTGACAACCTAGCAGTTTGAAAATGTGTAAATGCAAGTCGATAAATAGGTACTACTTCAGTGGAAAGTTAACAGCACTCCATGACATCATGCTGGCCATATGACCACAGAAATGTTTTAAGACAGTGCTGGCTCAAGAGCCTTAAAACAGAGCATAAATTCCAGCATAAACAAATCCAATATCCATCCTTTCAAATTCATTGTTTGGAAGGGAGAGTTCAATATACCTAAAATATAATTGTCCACAAATCACACTTATGAGATTATTATCTTTTTTTTTTTATACTCGCTGATTTATCCTACTTACTTCTTTTCCGAGATATCGCAGAGGAATTTGAGCTTGTCTGACTAACTCAAGTTGGGAATCTGCTAGGCAACTTTTAAAAGTTTTTTTTTATTTTAAGTGAACATTCCTATATAATATCCCCCCCCCCCCTTCGGTCCTAGGCTTCAAATGTAATTCATAGCTCGAAAAAGCAGGTAATCAATTTCTCACACAGTGATGATCAAAATGTCAGCAGACTCAAAGGGCAGGTATATTCATTAGCTAGGTTTATTACTGACAGCTAGACTAGTCCAGCTCTTTCTAATCAGTCTGATCGAGAGTGAGTAATGAATTACAGTAATGTGTGGACAGAAACTGAAATAATTTAGCATATACTTCTGCTGTCAGTTTGTTTTTCTAACTCCAAAGCGAAAATGGAAGACAAGTCGCAAAACCAACCTGACAAACATCTTTATGTTATGCTGCTTGTTTTAGGTTTTTTGTTTTTTGTTTTGCTTTGCTTTGGGTTTGTTTTTTTTTAGGGGGAGAAAAAGATTCAGACCAGTTTGAACTACTAGTTGGTTACTGCAGTATTCTTAGGCCCAGAGTTGCTATGGTGATGTGCCATTATTGGTGAACAGTTCTTTTCAACAGTAGATGTATTCTTCCATCAAGCCTGTCAAAGGCCAGAAGGCTGTTGTCACATAGCTCTATTTTGATGCTGAACCATAATTTTCAGACAACACAGGTCTGGCAGCACTATTTTCATTGCTTGTATGTTGTGATTTCTTTTTTTTTTCTTTTCTTTTTTCTTTCCCCTTTCAACTGACTGAAATAACAACATGAAAAGTAAATGTAAAGTATGTTGAACAATGAAAGGATTTTTGTGGACAACTAAATCATTTTAGTAGGACAGATTGATAGATAGCAATGTTGTGGATGGGGAATAAAGGGAATGTAAGTCTTCCTTTGTTTTTTAAAAAATTAAACCCTATGGTGTGGGATATTATTTCTACGGTCATTTGATAAAACATTTTCCATTGTATCGTAAAATAAAAGGCAACTGTTTAGCAAAAGTTACACCATTTTAAAATGGAAGGAGTAGAACCACAATTTGAGCAAGGGAAGGGAAACACGTAGACTTGAACAGATATAAAAGAAAGAAGCAAGTGGTCTGCTTGAGAGAAAATAAAGATATTCCTAAGCAAGTATGTGCCTCCTGTTGCTTGCAGGCTAAAAAGATGAAAATCAAATGGGGCAGGGATATTTGGTAGTGGTCCTGTGAAGTCACCACCGAGCTGGGCTTACTTGCTCTGCTTGGGCTCTTCTCATAAAGACAAGACTGATTCTCTACAAGTGTCATCCGACATCTGCTTTCTCCCCTTGGAAGTGGACACTTATAAAGGCATTTTCTTCCAACATAATAAAGATCTCCGTGGAGCAGCATATTAGGCTACTAAGACAGATTGCGCTTGCAGAGTGAAAAGGAAATGTAGACCTCATAATGCATTCCCTGTATCTGGAATTTAACAGGAGCATCCTCTCTTGCAATACTGAAGATTTGCCTACTCAAGTAGATTTTATCTAATCTACCAGTTGTCATTCGGTCCTTTTGTGCAACTTTCATGTATCAAAAAGGGGATGTTTGGTGAAATATTTGCAGGTCTGGGGTCGCCCCAAGGACAGACACTAAGCAAGATTGATTTCTCAATAAGAGAAATTTTATTTATGGCCAACTGGATGGATGTCACGTTCCTGGCAGAATGCAGCTTGAACAAGGGCTTAGGAAGTTTGTATACCTTTCTGCATTGTACTATACATGTACACCAACATGAAATGTTAGCACTTTTATAAGGATACTTTGTCTAAGTCTTCATGCTTATGTGCCTTTCTCATCTTGACCTAGTAGTAGCTTCTAGTGGACTGGAAACTAAACATATGAAGAACAGTTGCAGGAATTGGGTATGTCTAGTTTAATGAAAAGGAGGGCTAGGGAGGGGTGGGATTCAAATTTCTTAACAACTGGTTCTGTGGGCATGGCCTAATTTGTGGGTGTGGCTTGGTGGTCATGTGACTGGATGGTCATGGCTCACTTATTGGGCATGGCTTGGTGGTCACATGACTGGCTGGGCGTGGTTTGTATGTAAATGTTGTAAATATTTATGTAAATGTTGAATTTTTTATAAAAAAGAGCAACTTTTACTCAAAATCAGGCAAAGCAGGCAGGCAAATTGAGTTGCTCTTAAAATCACAGAGTCACTCACAGATCTACCTTTCTGCAATCTGCTGCCTGAGTTTGTCACATAAAATTTGCTAGCAAGCAAATTCACAAAATTAATTCACAACATACCATGTATATAAATATTGATTTTTTTATTGAAAAAAGAGCAACTTTTACCTAAAATCAGGCAAAGCAGGCAGGCAGATTGAGTTGCTTGCAGAATCACAGATCACAGAATCACAGATCTACCTTTCTGCAATCTGCTGCCTGAGTCTGCACTGAAAAATAGGAGCTTCAGTCCTAAGGATGGCTCAGCTCTGCTTTCAGGCCACTTCTCCCCTCCAACCTCCTGAATACCATCCCTGACTGGGCCTCAGGGAAGCCTCCTGGGCAAAGATGAAGCAGTACAACAGTGATTTAGATTAGTTAGAAAGCAAAAAAAAATCTTACGATTTCCTGCATTCTAGCTAATCTAAATCACTCACCACAGCTGATAGTCAGAACAGCTGATCGTCAGGAAAAAAGAGGAAAAATAGCAACTTACCAAAAATTAGATGAATGCACAAGCAGCAAGTTGGATGGCGTGCATGTGAGACAAGGAGTGACTGGGAGGGGAGGGGAGGGGAGGGGAGGGGGAGTGGCCAGCCAGTGACGTGATTTTCCGGTTCTCCAAACTGTACAGAATCGTAATAACCGGTTCTATGGAACCGGTCTGAACAGGTAGAATCCCACCTCTGGGACTAGGGTGGACATGATAGCAATGTTCCAGTATTTGAGGGAGTGCCATAAAGAAGAGAGGGGTCAACTTATTCCCCAAAGCACCTGAAGGCAAGAGAACAAACAATGGATGGAAACTAATCAAGGAGAGACCCAACCTAGAACTAAAGAGAAATTTTCTGACAGTGATAACAATTAATCAGTAGAAAATCTTACCTCCAGAAGTTGTAAGTGCTCCATCACTGGAAGTTTTTAAAAAGAGATTGGACAACAATTTGTCCAAAAAGGTATTGGGTCTCCTGCTTGAGAAAGGGATTGGACTAGAAGACCACCAATGTCCCTTCCTGTTATTCTGTTATTCTCCATAAGCATGTTTTCAAAAGCAACAAAACACTATTAGAAAAGTGGAAGTGCTAAAAACCTACAAATATTTCAAGGTCCTTGTATCACCCTTGGTTTATTTTTGGTATATTATTTATGAGCCCAAGATAATCTTAAGTGAATGTTTCCATAGCTCTGGAAACAATGTGACAACCAGCTTCTTATATACAGACTCATGGGGGAATCATCTTGTTAGTTTCTGTTACTTTAGTGGAAAAACAATTGATTTTATTTTGATTAGAACCCATAAAGTGATAACACTATTCAATTTTCACATATGTAAATACAGATACAGTAAGTCTGATTGAACTCAGTGCAACTTACTTCTAGTAATTGTAGTACAATATACATAATATCACAACTGCTTTGTTTATGTCCATTAACTTATGTAGAGGTAATCCTTCCCACTTTTGGAAACCATGTTGTTAAAAATCACATTGTTAAGAGGCTCGTAGTGAACATGGATATGGCATGGTATCCTATACTATGGTTATTATACTGGACTATAGCATAAGCCTTAGGGTTTATTGGCTTGAGTCTACACCATATTTTGGGTAGCATATGAATGGCTGCACCACAAAAGAGCCATGGGAAAGGGCAGTCGAAGAAATAAAAGGGATGTTTTAATTCACTCCTTAATTCCCTCTCCAGTCAAATTCCAAAAGAAAGGAAAAGAAAAAATTAAAATGGAAGGGAAAGGGAAAGGGAAAGGAAAGGAAAGGAAAAAGGAAAAAAGGAAAGGAAAGGAAAGGAAAGGAAAGGAAAGGAAAGGAAAGGAAAGGAGGAAAACTTGGCCCTACCTAGTGTGTATGGGAGTTTTGAAGTCATGGATAAAAATACCATCAGGCTGGATGTGACTTCTTGGTTGCACATTTATATCCTTCCATATGCTGCTGTATGACCAGAATGAACCTTTGATTGATGGATTGCATCCCTCCACTTCACCCCATCTTTGGAAAAGGACAATTGTCCATGACAAGGAAATGCATATACTATAAGTGTCCAATTTGCTTGTTCACTGGAATAGATAATGGCACCTTTGCAACTGAAGGTGGACAATATTCTATTTTTGTGAGCACTCAGCTGGCAACCAAAGCCCTTTCCATTTCATCCCCATCCTATCATTTCACTCTCAGAAGCCCTCATTTCATTCCTTAAAACCCTGCAACTTCTGCCACTGTCCTGGTTGCTAAGCAACTCCCATTTCTATTGAATATGTGCCAGCCATGTTTTCACAAAACTAAAAATTTACGTGTTGTCGGGACACACAACTGAAGGTGTGTAAAAGGTTGCAAAGAAGAAAACTCATGAGCTCATATCAGTCATTTTTCAGCATTTTGTTCCATGCCTGAGAGGCCACATTAGTCTGATCTTGTCTTCAGGAGAAAACAGGTACTCAAGGAGCATATATTTGAATGTTGTGGCTGTTGTGAGGGTTATGATTGGGTTATGACTATTTATTTTATGTATTTTACAACTTGTCCAATGTAATTGATGCCAAAGGATTCTGGGCAGTTTAGCAAACCAAAAAAAGAAAACAAAAAAATAGCACAATAATAAATAACTAAATCCAAAACAGTACCGAAAACAAACAAACCCCAAATAAAAACAGGAGGCAATAATTAAAAACTCCACATAAAATCCAGGTTGGGCTCCCTTAATTAGCTCCTTGGTCCAAAAATTCAATAGCTTTAGTATCTTTATGAAATGGCAGCAAGATGAGTCTGCATGTACTAAGGAAGCCCCATTCCATAATGGGGGGGGGGGGCTCTTGGAGAGAAGAGCTACCATCTCACTAATGCCCTGAGAGGGTAAAAATCCAATAGCCCTTCTCTTAAAAAGGGGGGGGGGCTGGAATTCCACGCTGCAGGTTGTTGATGGATTAATAATAGATTCCATCTCCCTCCCCCAGGCATATTGATTCCTCCCGTCCCATCTTTTAATTATAATT